TCTAGCGATTTCTATTCTACATCTAATCTCTTTTGTTTGATCAGTATCGTCTGTGATCCAAGCACCTAGATATTTATAACAGGGCACACGCTCAATCGTTGTATTGTCTATTACAAGATTAGCTCTGATGTTCTGTGATTTCGTGATTACCATAAATTTAGTTTTTTTCAAATTAATTTTTAAGCCGTAACTGTTACAGTATATATTGAGACTTTGAACGAGATGTTGTAGTTCTACTAGCGTTCCCGTTAGGAGAACTGTATCGTCAGCATATCTTATATTGTTGATCGTCTCACCATTTATTATCAAACCAAGATCTTCTTCCTCGAGTGCTTGTTCACAGATAGCTTCACTATACAGATTAAATAAAAGTGGCGATAAGATACTTCCCTGCCGGACCCCTCGACGGATTTGAATTTCTTCTGTTAGTCTGCCCTCAACCTTGACATTTGCTGTTTGATTCCAATATAGATTGCATATAATTCGAATATCTCGGCTGTCTATATTTTTCTTTATTAGAACTTCTCTTAGTGGATCATGTTGTACTTTGTCAAAGGCCTTTTCGAAATCAATAAAGCAGGCGTAAATTTCTTGGTTCATGTCTAAGCATCTCTGTGAGAGAACGTTCATTGCAAACAGAGCCTCCCTTGTACCCAGCCGTTTTCTGAATCTCATCTGAGTGTTACTGATGTCTACGCCTAATTTCCTATAGATCCTATTATGGATTATTTTTAAGAACAGTTTTAGAGCATGACTCATCAAAGCTATCGTACGAGATTCGTTGCATTCCTTTGTATTTGCCTTTTTTGGCAGTAGTATAAAGGTCGAACGGAGCCATTCCCTAGGTATTATTCCAGTTCTATATATTGTGTTATATAGATCTAGGAGTATTTTAATAGTTTCATCGTCCATAAGTTTGAGCAGTTCTACGGGAGTTTCATCAGGACTGGGGGCCTTACCACTTTTTTCTTGTTTGATTGCATATTCTATTTCTCCTCTGATTATATCAGGCCCTGTATCATCTGTATATTCGTTTGAGATTTCTTGTCTATCTTTGTCATTAAACAGTTGTGATATGTATTCTGTCCATCGGTTCATTTTTTGTTGTAAATCTGTTATAATTATACCATCTGTATCTTTGATCTGTCCTCTCTGTGTTGTTTTTCTCCTTCCTGTCATTTCTTTAATCTTTTTGTGTACATTAAAAAGTCATATTTTCGCTCCAATTGTTCCAACTCCTGGCATTGCTCACTTAGCCATCTTTCTCTAGCTTCTCTTATTTTCTTTTTTATCAGTTTATCTGTCTCTTTGTATCTTATCGGATTATTTGTTTTGTGTACCCTTCTTTCACGCATCAACTGTAGTATTTCCTCATTCATCCATTCTTTATGTTTCCTTTCTTTCGGTGTTAAATTTTCTCTCCCTGCCAACATTATGGCATGTTTAATATTCTCCCATTTTTGGTCTATGTTATCAGTATTTCTATTCAGTTTCTCTATATATTTTGTAAATTTTCTTTGATGTTCACTATTGTTTTCTCTTTTATATGTTGTTCGTTCAGTCTTCTCACGTCAATTTGTTTCTGTATGTGTTTTTTAATGATCTTTAGCTTTATTCTTAATGTGACTACTACAGGATTGTAATCCGAGCCTATATCTGCTCCTGGGTAGGTTTTAGCTGAGAGTATAGAATTGCGGAATCTTTGACTAACAAGGACAAAGTCAATTTGGTTTCTGACTACTCTACCTTTGGTGTCACTCGGAGATTTCCATGTGTACAGTCGTCTGTAGGTAACTTGAAGCAACTACTAACTCCTCCGCTTGACAAAATTGTACCATACGGTCTCCTCGTTAGTTTCGTTCTCCTAATCCATAGTCCCTCCATATAATCGTCCACACATCCATGTCCAATTTTGGCATTAAAATCGCCCATTACTACTGTAGTATGATGTTTCTTCATTGATTTTAGAATTTGTTCCAGATCGTAATAGAAACTTTCAATTTCATCATCATCTTTATCAGCCGTAGGAGTATATACTTGTATAATATTTATAATTTGTTTATTTGACTGAAGTTGTAGTGTCATTATTCTATCAGAAAAGGGAGTAAAGCTTGTTACACAGTTACTGATTTTCTTTGATACCAAGACAGCGACACCGTAACGATCAGTTGAACTGATGGTGCCTAAATAATAAAATGTTCCACTGTTATTCGTGCATTTTCCTGATCCTGGCCACTGTACATCACTTATACCTAGGACATCAATTTTAAGGTTTTCCATTTCAAAGGCTATATTATTTAATTTACCTGCTGCAAAGAGGCTTCTTACATTCCACGTCGCTATTCTTAATATCTTAAGGTGATTGATATTACCTACACAGGGATTTCGCTGGTTCACGACCTGAGAGGCCCTATGGTCTGTCTGTGGTTTTCCTCTCCTGTCGGATCTTGGGTTCCGAGGTCCATGATCAGTAACATGAGTGATTGATGTGACATTTGCCATCATGATTATACTAGGAAATCTTAAAAATCATTAATACAGTGGTTTCCCGTTGCCTTCTACCCGACTCTTGATACGCATTGGTAATTGTTGATGATACTGATGGTCGTGAACAACTTTCAGCAATCATTCCCGATGTTGGCGGCTTGCGAACAGCAATAAGCTGTCTTTAATAATTGCAAACAACAGTCAAACAACTATAACCAGGGAGACGCAAATCCCACCGACGCGACGACTTAATTATTTTAATTTTTAACATCTAGACGACCTTGATAGTTGTCACAGTTAATTTCGAGTAAAAATAGCGTATGAATTGTACTATTTATGGTTGAGAAAATTGCTACGTTTGAAGAAAAAATAGTATACTTTATTCGGCAAAAAAGCGACTTTTCTTGACTTGCCCTTTATTACGCGCCTCACTTCTTTCGGCGCGTAATATCGGGCGCGTCAAGAAAAGTCATGCTTCTCCGCCTCATAAAGTAATATACTATTATTGTAAAAACTAAAATGGATAGGAAAAAAAGGCATACGAGTCGGTGTGACTCGCAAGGTACCTTGATAGATGATTTGCCAATAAATATGATAACAGAAAAAAGTTATGTCAAGCAAACTTATATACATTTCTTTCTTATTTAAGTTATTCAAAGATGACTGGTTTGATTCACAACAGTTTTACATATAATAAATAGAATTTTAAAATATTAATTTTATTATTTATAAAGATCTCATTTTTTTCGATAATGATAGGAGTTATCAGCTCTCTTCCTATTACCAAGTTAGGTACAAATCAATATGTATCTGATACAGTGCATCAAATTAAACATAGGGTATTATAATTATTTAAGTAGTGTAGTATGAACATGGGCGAGAGTATTTACGGTTTGCCTTTTAGAATCAATTAAATCACAGAATAAAAGTGTTCTTCGTGCTTAAAGCGACTAAAGCAAATACTGGTGTGTTATTCAGAATTCACGGTATTCAGTTATCATAATAGCATGGCTGTGTCATGGCTTATGTTTTCAAATATACATTAAAGAGCTTTTGTAGTGAATATGTTGTGGTAGATTTGACTTATCTCAAAATACACATGCAGTCGATTACAATTTTCGGGATAAAAACATGTATCGATGAATCATAATCTTATATAGACATGATTTGAAGTATTATGATTAAATTTTAAAACACATCAGTACACTCAACGATACTAATCTTCTTCCTTCTTCTTCTTTGGGTGCCGTGTCCGTATTCAGACGTTGGCCGTCATCATGCTTACAATTTCCTGAAACCTTTCTCTGTCGGCTGCTGCGCGAAATAATTCTTCTACTGTGAAACCACACCATTGTCTAATATTACGCAGCCATGAAAGTTTCTTTCGACCAATCCATCTCTTTCCTTCCACTTTTCCTTGTATTATAAGGCGAAGTAAATGGTATTTGGGTCCTCTAATTATATGGCCGAAGTATTCTGTTTTTCTCCTCTTTATGATGTTTATGAGCAGACGTTCTGAGTTGATCATTTGAAGAACATCTTCATTGGAAGTGTGCGAAACCCACGATATCTTTAGGATTCGTCTATAGCACCACATTTCGAATGCTTCTAACTTGTTTAGCATTGTGGTTTTTAACGTCCATGTCTCACAACCATACAATAGGATCGACCACACATAACATTTCAGGACCTTCTTACGAATGTTCATTGACAGGTTTCTGTTGCATAAAACTGGTTTCCAGGTCATAAAAGCCTTACGTGATATTTCGATCCTGGATATTATCTCTTCATCAGAGTCACAATTTACATTTAACCAGCTGCCAAGGTATTTGAAATGATTTACCCTTTCTATCTCTTCTCCATTAAGAGAAAGCAGACCTTGATCTATATGGATCTTTCCAACTGCCATCCACTTTGTCTTTGAAATGTTGATTTTTAGGCCTCTCCGATAACTTGCTTCACTGACTAGATCCGAAATCCGAAAGATTGTAATTTATATAGATTCAAACGCGAAAAACTTTTCCAAATCTTCATGCAGTAATAAATGGACTAGAATGTTTAAGAAAGCTTAAACATTCACAAGCTGTCAATCACGCAATAAATTACATGACGATCTTGCAATAGTAGTTCACAACATACCATAGATATTTTTGGCACAACGTCTGATCTTGGTCCATCTTCATGAAATTTATATTGGAAAGAACTGCGTCAACAATTACATTCTGAAAATCAGTTAACCCCTTTAACTTGCAGAAAGCTTATATTTTATATTAGAAGTCGAGTTAAGTTGATCAGAAAATTGATCTACTAACAAGTCCACAAAAATTATAAAAAATCTCTACAAAAAAATATCGTTTTATTTTCTTATACGACATAATTTTGACAAATTGTGGCCAATATAAGATTTGACATTTCGACAACGATGTTACTAAATTTGAAAACTTTACTAGCAGCTTTGATATTTTAATTTAACTGTCTAGTTATTTTTCTATTATCAAGTTTTTCCTTTGCAGTTTCGGACCTGATTACTATGCCAAAATGGCGTCGTCACCATCAGGAACTAAAGGGAAGGTAAGTCTCGACGGAAAGCTCAACGAAATTGAAGAAATAACAACCTATTCTAGCCTACCAAGAAGTCTCTATACACCAAAAACCTCCAGCAGGCATTTTGTTAAGAACCCTTTATTAAATTTTCCAGAACTTAATTCTAAAGAATGAAGTGTTAAGTTGTGAAATGAAGAGTTACTTAGGCTCAATTATTTAAAACAATTTAAGTTAATCATACCAGTAAAACTTGGGACAAAATGTTTAGTGTCGAGTATTGTTAGGTTATTGTAAAGATGAATAAATTTTTCAACGAAATTTTTTGTTGCAAACTTTGCAGATCTTTATTATTTTAATAGGAATAAAGTTGATGCACCTACACGATAATCTTATCTTTTAATAAGAGACTATATTATAGCTCAGTAAGAATCTAATACTTTGTACAATATTGTTGATGTACACTGTGTGCTCAATAATAGCTGTGTACCTACTGTTTATTTCTTAACTTTTTGCTAAGAATTAAAAATACCGAGAGACTCCTTTTATTTGTGCTTACAATATTTTAATTAATATATGGGATTTTAATATATTATGCATACAATTCAGTAACGGTTTTGTATTAACATGTATAAATATATTTACAAATACAAGACCAAACCAGTGATATGCTTACCCTACCTTGACCAAAGCTCCAGTTCCGATGATCTAAAGTTAAATGAACTTCAATTTTATACAATTCCAATTTTTTTACTCGTATGTTTGCTTTATTTACTATCTTAATTATAATTAATCACAATTCTAATTGAAAAGACTTTTATTTTGATGTTTTAATTTCGCAACTTCTCAAAAATCCAAAGTGAAAATCAATACACAAAATTCAATTCAATTTACACAATAACATTCACATAAAAAAGCTTATTTTCTGTACCTTTCGTAATTTTTCGTAGGCTTCCACAAGGGATATCAAGTTATAGATTGCGCCTCTAAATCATCTCTTCCTCCGGTGTATTTTCTAAACCATAAAACTTAATTAAACTTTCTCATTAACTGAACGAAAGGTACCTATTCGTTGTGTATATGTCATTTCAGTAATGACATAATTCCAGCAGAATACGACTCTGCGAATAGAAGAAAAATGTTCAAAGCAATAAAGAGCTAGTAATACGAAATCAGTTGGTAAATTTAACAAAACTAACTCTTAAATAAGTTCAGTGTAGAGTACGAATTCATGGCGAACTGTTTAAACCTTTTAAAATAAATAACGGGTTGCGCCGGCTCAAAGTAATACGTATGTCACAAATCACAACCATTGATAATAAATCAGTGCAAATCCTTGCCAATGCTGATGATATCAATATTGTTGGGATAACGAAAAACAAAACGAAATATATGGAAATAAGCACGCAACCACAGATCCTACGACCACTTGTTATAGAAAACGACGTAATTGAAGCGTGAACGAATTTGTATACCTGGGAGCGCTTCTTAACACTGAAAATAATACTACCGCAGAAATAAACTGCAGAATTTGCACGGCCAACAGATACTATTTTGGGATCAATCTCCTCCTTAATCTCACAATTATCGAGAAATACAAAAATAAAACTCTACAAAACAATAATACGCCCAGTCCTAAAGTATGGTTTAGCGACCTGGACTTAACAAAAAGTAATGAAAACATGTTTTCAGATGTTTCGAAAGAAAAGTACTAAGGCGAATATATAGAGCAGTGAATGGCAATAGAGTATGGAGAAGACGATACAACTTTATAGAATATACCAGAAACCAGATATCGTAAAACATATTAAGATAGGACGTCTGAGGTGGATAGGGCATGTCATTCGGATGGAATAAAAGGACCCAGCTAGAAAAACGATCCTTAATAGACCAATTGGTCAGAAAAGAAGCTGAAGACCCAGAACAAGGTTCCTTGATAACATCAATGAAGAGATGAGAAATATGGAAATACGTACTTGGCGGAGGAAGGCAATGGATAGGGACGACCGTAGAAAAATTCTTGAGGAAGCTAGGATTCACGCAGGGTTGTAAAGGCAGAATGATGATGATGGGATAGATTGTTAAAAAGTTGTCTTTTTGTAAAATAAATATTAATAGGATTATAGATCGAGTAATACTTCATCTAAACACTCGTTTTAAATTGTTGCCAGCGACAGAATTATCAGTTTCGACTCAAAAACCATCTTCTTTACGTGCGTCGAAGATTGGCAATCATCACTGCTATTCTAACTTTTAACACTTCAGCCCGAAAGAGTTCAATTGAGCTGTATCCAAACCATTCTCCGAAGTTTCTCAGTTAGGGCATTCTTCTTCTAAATATGTTGCGCGTTCCTTGAATCTTTCTCTGTATTATTAGTTTCAGGAATTCATATCGGTCACCACGTACTATATGACCCAGATATTGTAGTTTTCTTATTTTGATGAAATCCAGTATCTCCCTGCTGTTCTCTATTCTTCTTAGTACTTCTTCATTGGTTATTTTGTCTGTCCAGGAGATTTTCAGCATTCTTTGATATGTCCACATTTCAAATGCTGCCAATTTATTGATACATTGTTTATTTAAAGTACATGTCTTCAAACCATACAAAAGTACAGAAAATACATAACAATTTAGTACTCGTTTTCTTAAGATTTAGGATGAGGTCACTACAACATAATATTTGTTTCAAAACAATACTAAAACTATATTCAAGTCAGTCAAAAACTATATTCATGTCAATTATTATCATTAATTCAAAAATTTTCTAATCAATAAAAATAATAAATCTTTGTAACTCTTTTTATTGAATAAAAAAATGTGAATGGGTATATATGGTCAGTTATCCACAAAAACTAATAGTTTAATTGTTATTGAACCCCCTCTGTGGCTCAGTGGTAAGAGCGCCTACCTTTGAGTCGTGAGTTCGAATCTCACCTGAGTGGAAATTTTCGTTTATTAAAAATTAATAAATGAAAATAATTTCTATTCTTGTGCGATCGGTACTCACCGAAGGGACCGCAGACGTTCGGATACAATTAGCGTCTCTTAGCAAAGACAATGACGTTGACTTTGCTAAGTATCAAGACATTTACTCTACACACATACACACACACTACACACCTGACTGTAAAAATTCACTGCACCATGCCAATGACCATTAGTTGTCGAAGCATTAAACTCAATAAAAAAAAATTGTTATTGTTCGGAAAATAAAAGGTGGAAATTATTAACTAATAATATAATTGAAATTGTTTTTTAGATTTTAGGTAAAACATAATTTTTTTAGCTATCACTAAAAAAAAATAAAGCGATTTTGCTAGGAATTACTTGCTATATGATTCCACTTAAATTATCTTATAGAACCATCCCAAATTTTGAATAATTAGGTTACTTAAATATCATAAAAACAATTAACGGACACTTTAGTTTAGTAACCTAGAAGTTTATTATTTTAGATTTTGTAGATTAGAAAATAAGTTAGAGGGGAGACTTTACATTCGCACTTCCCTAACGATTACAGACAGAAGATGACATTAAACTTAAATATATACAGAATCTACTATAAACTATACTATGTATATCGTGGGTAATTCCTGTGATCGTTTCTTGTATCTTTCTTGTTTTTTTTTTAGTCTAGGATCAGCCCTTTTCTTTATGATCTTTCACCTCTGGTTTCGGTTCTGTAGATTAATACTCTCCTACAGTTTCTATATATTCGTGTTTTACTTATGTTAATATATCATACTGTTCTGATGCTTTGGCCACTGGACCCTCTGACATTGTAAAGATAAACAATTTTATTTATTGTTTTTACTGTTAAAGAGATTGTTAAAAATCTTAGATAGTACTAAAAAGATGTATAATATTTTTTAATGTCCCATATCCCATATTTTGGATATTTTATACCCTTGAATCTTTACTCGTGCTGCGGATTGCATCATATTTTTTTACTTCAATAAGTTTTATTATAAATTTGTTAGTTGTTAATTTTTTCCGTAGGGATATTTTGGAATATCACCAATGATTAAAACATTATATCCTGTTAAAAACGGTTTATGCAATAAAATGAGTCTGTTTGGTACATTGTATTTCTACATATACTATTTATTTAGAGTGTTTATTCACAGTTGGCAAAAAAAACTATTACAAATTTTTAGGTAAAAATGGTAAGTTTGAAATTGGGTACTTTACACATAGTTTTGTGCAAAATTTGTTGAACTTCAAATCTAATTTTTTTGATCAAATTATGATAAAAACTTTATTATACTAAAACTAAAATATAAAAACTGATTTTTTATAATCGAAGGTAACTAATTAAGTGTTTTTTTCTTCATTTCATTTCTTCCATTGACTGACATCTTCGGTTGTTGAAAAATTAGCAATGATTTATGCTGATTCTTTTTGCTGATTTGCAACTCAGTTGCTCATTATATGTTTTCAAGTAATATACCATTTCTAGCACTATTTCATCTACCCTATATCCTTCCTTTGTTTACGTCGCCAACATTTCTCAATACTGTTTAAAGCAGTTTTTTCATTTCATCTTTCTAAAATTATTTTTCTATTATTTCTTTTTTTGTTGTGTGTTCTTTTACTTACAATTTCAGCTTACGTTGTGTAAATCTTTGTTCTCAATATTTTTTTAATATCTTCTTGTCCATATAAATATTCACGTGGTTGTTTTTTTATTCCATCAAATTGAATTTAAATGCAGGAGAATTCTTTAATAGAAAAGAGTTCACTGGAATTTGTAATTTTTTATTGAGCATAATATGTCTCCTAAGCTTAATAAAATAAAAAAATTAACGAAAATGCTATAAAAAAATAAGAACTGTAATAAAAATTATCGTAATTACACCCGCCTCTAGGTATTAAAGCAATGAAGAATATCTAACTTTCTTTCATGTGAATTTCATATTTCTGAAGTCTAATACGCCGACTAACATAAATATAAAGACAATGTTTTTTTCTCTCTTAGCTTATAATATTAATACCGGGGTTTTTGGATAACTTTCATTAGTTACGGCTA